TTTCATATTTACACTTTACTCTATTTTTTTCATCGTGGTACTTTTCGAAGAAAGTGACACCACCTTTGAAAAAGCACAACCCAATATTGCATGTTTATCACATGTGTCGAGGTCCGTATCAGATTCACTATCTGAAAGCAATTCCTGTAGCACTTTGAGTACTTTAGAAATGGTACTCTCCGATCCGTTTGGAAAAAAAAATAAAAATCAGAAAAAAATATCAACTAATATTATATCTACAATTTGAAATTATAAACTATAAAATAAAAATATAAATGCCTACAACTCAAAACTATTAAGCGTAGCGCTAAGGAAACTTCTTTGAACCAAAGCGAAAGAGAAAAAGAGAACTGCTCTAGTGAAAAACCAAACAGCTTACTGATAAAATTGTCCCTGACCACCAGAAAATCACCCCAACAATTTCTCAGCTGATAACCAAACCTCCCTCTCCCCCCCCCAAAAAAAAGGAAAAGAAGAAAGAAAAAAACAGGAAATGAAACACAGATGTGGACCCACCATTCTATGTTAATGAGCTGATCGATGAGCTGCAGAGAAACAAAGATACAGCTGCCTCTCAGTTACCTAAACTCACAGTGAGCCCAGTCTGGGAACACCTCGGTTCACCGTTCGATTTTAGACAAGATCTCAAGGTAAACATTTAAAAGTAATATAAAATAAGGAGATTAGCATACAGCCAAAAAAATAACATAGAAATTTCCTTTCAAACAATTCCCTTTATACCTTAAAAAAAATCTGGAAGATTTGTTTGAAAAATGAGCGTCTTAAAAAACTAAACATGGCTAAAATATATGGACTAGTTTCTGTTCAGCTGCCATCTACTATAAATAAAGAAGGTTCAGAGTAACCTATAGTAACCTTCAAATCCTTTTTCATTCAATTGTTCTGTACGTACAGTGGGAAATTTTTAGGTGTGCCCAGATCGGGCCTACCGTGCCGCAAAGGGTTAATTTTAAAGGAGCATCCGCTATGTCAAAGGACAGTTTCAAAATCAGTAAAATGCTCAGTGTCAACTGTAAAAACTGATTAATGCTGATTTGAATCTTTAAAAGGTGAAAAAACATAATGTGTATCGTCTTCAATACGACATATCGACGAACACAGAGCACGCTGCAGAATTCTTTATGATAAACATTTATCCGGACAAAAATGGAAAACTGTTGTCATGTACTTAAATAACTGCAAAAAGAAAACTCCATTTATTATCATCAAAGGGGAGAAAAAAGATCTTAAAACAGGGTTTAAAGAAATGAAAATAAAGTTTTCCTATTTCATATAACAGCAAACTAAAAATAAAGACAGTGGAGAAAAATAGTAAAGTCCACTCCATATATTATCAAAAACATATTTTATACTGAATTTTCAAACATAAAATACTTTCGCTTTACACTTTCGCTGCTTGGAATTATTTTCAACTGCAGCTATATTTTTGAAAGTATAAATTATCGTCTGCTACTTGACAATTTTGTTTTCATGCAAAATGTCGCTTTTAAAAAAGCAATGGGCGGAAATATATGTTTGTGCTTTTTCTCAAATTAGTCGTATCTAGTAATTAAAAAAAATCTGATATGTACACGACATGACTTCCTTGCACGGAATATTAAATTATACGCATTTTTCCTGCATTTCATTAAAACTTATTGAACTGAATTTAATCTACTTCGTCGAAAGTGCGTTAACCACAATAGAATAAATGCGCTCTTTATAAGTCACTATATTTATTTACCATAGTGATACTCTGGCGCTAAGTTCATTTAACAGCGTTACATCTATTTCAATTTATAACTCAGAATGCAGAAAAATTATATCATCTAAAGAACTGTCTAGTCGTTGCCACATGTTCTATTCCAATAATATAATAATATAAAACGATGCATAAAAGAAAGTAGGCAAATAAAAAGGAAACAGTTGTTATTGCGAAGCTTAGTTGGCAACAAATCCACTATTCTACTAAGTTTCAAATGTAAACAATTATGGCTACTATGGTAAAAAAAAAAAAAAAAAAAAAATTAGGCTTAGCCGCACTTATCGTATTTAAAGCTACGATAGTTAATGTTTTCAATAACAAAGGGGGGAAATGTCAAAATTTAACTTCAAGCAGAAATCTTGCTTCAAGTACATAACCAAGGAAAAAATGGAATGTTTCGAATGTTGCAAAAGTAAGTTCTTTAATAATTAAGACATTACTTTTGCAACATTCGAAACATTCCATTTTTTAATGTTAAAAGTTCTTTAATGTTAAAAAAAAATCCGCCAAAGGACACTTGCAAAATCATTAAAATGCTCACTGTCAACTGTAAATAAAATGATTAATGCTGATTCGAACCTTAACAAGGGGAAAAAACATAATATGCATATTTTTCTCAAAGACATATCACACAATGAAGAATGCACTGCAGAATTTTATATGGGAAACACTTAACCCGAATGGAAAAATGTACAATAAAGGAATCTCGAGCGTACTTAAATAACTGCAATAAAAACAGATCCATTCATTATCATCAAACAGGAGAAAAAATCTTAAAACACGGTTCAAGGAATCTAAAGAAGAAAGTTTTTTAAAGGGATTTACGATTGTTGCTGGTTTTTCATATAACTGCAAATTAAAAGTAAAAATCTGATGTGTACACCACATGACTTCCTTGTACGGAATATTAAATTATACGCATTTTTTTTCTTGCATTTTATTTAAACGTATTGGATTGAATTAAATCTACTTCGCCGACAGCGCATAAACCACAGTAGAATAAATGCATTCTTTAATATGCATTCTATTTGCTTATCATAGCGACATTTTGCGCTAGGTTCTATTAACAGTATTATACTTCGTTTATATTCTAACTCAGAATGCACAAAATTTACATCATTTAAAGAATTATCTAATCGTTGCCACATGTTCTATTCAAATACTGTAATAAAGCTAGAACGATGTGTAAAAGAAATTAAGCAAACAAAACAAAAAAGAAACAGTTTTTCACAGACGATTGAGTATTTCTCATTCAATTAATTCAGTTCTCACTTCGCGACAAGACAAAAATAAATAAAAACTCAAAATATCTGTATTAAAAATTACGAAGTAAATCTTAAACACTTATTTCCTCGAAAAAATTGCAGACAGGATTAAGCATGATTTACTTATCAATAATAAATGAAGGCGAATTTTTTTGTTGGTGCGAAGCTAAGTTTCTCTAGATTGGCAACAAATCCACTACCCTTCTGTTTCAAATGTAAACAAGCAATGGCCGCCATCAAGAAAAGTATTAGGCTTAGCGGCACTTAAACAACTTTAAAATTGTTGATAATTCTAAAAATATTACATAGAGATTTACTAAAGGCATAAAAACCTTAACCAAAAGATACGAACAACATAATTCAATCATTTTTAAAGCAAAAAATGTGCAATTAACAAACATATAAGAGTAAAGAAACTGCGATCACTGAGCCGGGTAACAGAGTATATATATATATATATAAATATATTTATATACGTTTGCCGCGGCCGATTGCAACCAAAATACGAGGTGCACATCTACATGTTATAGCAGTCCTGTATACAAAATTTCAACTTCTGAGGCTATTCGTTTTTGAGTTATTCGAGATACGTACGTACGTACATACGTTCGTACAGACGCCACGAAAAATTCTCTTCAGAATTCATTTTAAAGCTGTTTTATAATTTTTTTGAAGGAAAAGAGTCTGTACTTATGTACAGATATCACGCCAAAAACATCGTTAAATTGCATTCGATAGCGGTCAAAATGGATATTTTCGTTGAAATATGCTCCCTGAAACATTTCGCAATTACAATACTTCCTTTTTACTTCGTATAAGGAAATAAAAAGAGCGGAGTAAAATGTTAAGATCAACTTTCACATATTATCAAAAACATATTTTATACCCAATATCAAACTGCATCAAGACAAATAAAGAAGCGGCACGTCAAAATCTGCTCTTAATTTCCTGTAAAAAAATGGAATAAGAAACGCGTATTAATCCAATATCCTTCACTTATATCCCTACTAAATCTCCTGATTAAATCCTACTAAATCCCCATGTATTTTTGTGCTTCTGCACTTTTAAAAGGCGGTTTGTCCAAACGTCGACTTACAACTTCCTTAGACTTTGGAAAGTTGTTAGAGATCAATGGGATAAAGTATCTCAGCCGATACTATTAGGCTTTATTGTCTTGTAAATTGCAGGGTATAAAGATAGCAAAGAATACGGGTTATCAAACAGAACATTTACAACATAAATGTTTATGTAAAATATTTCTGTAACTACAATTAAACTCGTTTAAAAATGTGCAAACTGTTCACTTCCACGCCTATCGAATTAATTTCCACCTTTTCGTTGCTCTGCGTTGGCAACACGCTTTTGAGATTTGTCGTTCGTAGAATTCGGTCGCTAAAAGCGTAGCTGTCCTGTAACGGTTGTAATTCTTATTTTATAGCTTATCTGTATTGATGAATTATTACTAAATGTTTACGTGTGAATGTTATATTATTAAATGTATTCAGTTTGGTTTAAATAGACCAAGAGTCGTTGAATTTATTAAGGATATTTAAAAGCGAAACTGCGTCATCCATTTCGGCGCCATTTTAACGACTCTGTTCTTCCATGTAGCTTTCTTTAAATCGTACAATAATTTATGCGTAAAAAAAAAATGTGTAAAAAAATATCTTTACATTTAATGATTAAGATTGCACTTTAATGTGTAAAAAACGATCTTAATCGACATATATTCACACACCTCCGCATTAATACAAAGAATCGGATAATTAAAGTTATAAAAAGTTCTGAGTGCCGGTCTATTCAAAGCAGGTCACCGCTTTATCCAAATCGCTTTAGGCATGTTATGTCTATGAATAACGAAAGCGTGCTTTCGACAGGCATAATACGCAAGAAAGGGTGCGCTCAACCGGATAATAGGGCCAGGAAATGCTCTGGCAGTATTGTAGAAAGGTGCACGAGTAAAACAAATGGTTGCATAAATAAAACACTATTGAGCAACCACTGGAGCTGAATAACAGAACGGCAGGAGTAGGGATTTTCGGAGAGATTTTATATTCCGGTAGCAGCAAACGGAAAAGTAGTGTTACGTGAGGTCATACGGAGGCAGCACAGTTTAAAATCCCGACAAAACGGTTGTTCAGATAAAATTCTACCCAATCAATTATTGGAGCTAGAGCCACACGAGCAAGTAGGAATTTAGATGTTATTTGGGAGTCTGAAAAACGACAACTAGAAAAGCAGCTTGTTCCACATAAAATAATATGGAGTAAGATTTATATTTTTTTTAAAGCAATAAATTTTTCAGTCAGACAGTAACCAAAGCCTGATTCGATATGAGAAAAATTGATTTTTGATTGAACCGTTTTAAAGAATATGACATTCCATGGATGACTGCTGGTAGAAAAAATTAAGGTAAGTTTTAGAATAATAGATGTCATTCATTATTAAATTCCTACTATTAGCTCACAATCTTCGTATACATCGTTCAAATTTTCAATCGTTAATAAAATGCTTTTTATTCATCCACTCAACTTCAAATACGTTTTTTTAAACTTGTAGTGAATGACAATTGATGTTAATACAGATTTTTCACGTGTTAATTTTTTTAAATTCCCAATTAAATTTTTTTATATAATTTTTTTGTATTGAAAAATATTTTTCTTTGTTAACCTAAGTAGGAATTTAAAAATTCTTTTTTTATATTACTTGCATATAAATGTGTATGCTAAAAATCGCTTTTTGATTCAACCGTTTTAAAGAATATGACATTCGATGGATAGTTGCTAGTAGAAAAATTGAACGTTAAGTGTTTTAGATCAAAAGATGTCATTTATACGTAAACATAAGCTTGATTTACCTGTGTTTTAATTCTTAAATCGTATACTTTCTAAATACCGTTTCTTATCCGTATACATTTTTTACTATGAAATAACGCAAAAACTTTAAGAAATAAACAGCATGTAATAAAAATAGGTGATGTAGTAGAAATAATTCATCAAACTAAAGTGTGTTAACGTATATATTATGCATATATTATGCTATGAAAACCTATATTATGCATTAATTTTAATTCATAACTAAATGCATGAAAAGAATCTACACATTCAGTAGATAATGATAATCTTAACAGATAATATAACGCCAGATAATAAATATCAGTGTGTATAATATATATATATATATATATATATAAGTCAATATAGTGTCTCTAACACCACTTATATTTATCATCTGGCAGTTATTTGTACAGGGCACAAGCTATGTTGTTTACCAAATCGTAATTTAATCTCTAAATATTCAATGCATAAATAAAATAAAAATATAACAATTAAATAAAAAATGAAATATTAAGCACATAATAATTGTTCTTTAAAGATATACAATGTTATTTTGTATTATGAACAATGTGAAAGAAATTGTAACTATAAAGCTATTTTTGTATTTAGAGTATTCAGAAGAATATTTAAATTATACAATGATCGCGCTCATTAAAACTTCACATTTTATTTGATCATAGTACCTCTGATAATTAAACAGTGAAGCAGAAGATCATGTCGCATAACATGGTTATGGTTAATTTCAGTACATATTTTTGGAAATAGGTAAGTTAGAAATTTAATTATCTGTAATGTTCATTGCTCACATTTATTTATCTTCTCAGAAACATTAGTCAGTTTTAGACGTAATTTTTAAGAGAGATGTTAATTATGAGAGGTTTTACTGTGTTTGTGTACATTAAAATCACAGTTTTATTTGGCTAAGTTTGTAAAGTATGTTTGACTTCGCATTTCTCTTTCCTTTTTTTCAACTTTGTGATTATTCTTTTGCTCTCTTTAATACTTAATTTGTATTTCGTAATTATATCTGTCAAATGCTTTGACTGTAAGCTCGTCAAAGTCTTATATAGTAAATAAATTTACTACACCACTATGCATAGTTGAAAGTAGGTTTAAAATTAAATATTTAAAAATATATGAATAATAATATTAAATAAAATAATAATATTAAATATATACAAATTTGCTTGCTATATTATTAAGCAAATATTATCACATATTTTATTACTGCATTGATTATTATAGTCTTTAAAATTGCATTGTCGTAACAAAGTTTGCTATGTTATTAATGCAATCCCATCCGACCAATAAGTCAAATATTTATCAAATCATTGATCAGAAGAAAATTATCTTCATTACCAAAATTCATTTTATACAAAAGCAAATTCAAAATGTTTTATTATGAATTTTTAATGCAGATATTTTGAGTTTTTATATACTTTTGCCTTGTCGCGAAGTGAGAGCTGAATTAATTGAATGAGAAATACTAAATCGTCTGAGAAAAACTGCTTCTTTTCTGTTTTGTTTGCTTAATTTCTTTCATACATCGTTTTAGCTTTATTATAGTATTTGAATAGAATATGTGGCAAAGACAATTCTTCAAATGATATAAATTTTGTGCATTCAGAGTGTCACAAAACAAAATCAACAAAAGCAATCAACAAAAGCAAATAAATATTATCAGTTCTTGAGAATTATACTTTTAAAAGGAGTTAGATTAACGAAATCATTAAATAGGCTTCTTGTTAGTAAGCACTAATGAAAAAAGTACGTCACAAACAAAGCGAATTTACTCAGAAATTTATCGCTCAAATACTGTAAAATTTATTGGTCCAAGAGCCAATAAATTCAAGAGTTTACCAAAAATATAATGTTAGGCAAACGATAAATAAAAAATCTGATGTGTACACCACATGACTTCCTTGTACGGAATATTAAATTATACGCATTTTTTCTTGCATTATATTTAAACTTATTAGATTGAATTAAACCTACTTCGCCGACAGCGCATAAACCACAATAGAATAAATGCACTCTTTAAAATTCACAATATTTGTTTACTATAACGACACTCTGAATGCACAAAATTTATATCATTTGAAGAATTGTCGTTGCCACATGTTCTATCAAATACTATAATAAAGCTAAAACGATGTATGAAAGAAATTAAGCAAACAAAACAGAAAAGAAACAGTTTTTCACAGACGATTTAGTATTTCTCATTCAATTAATTCAGCTCTCACTTCGCGACAAGGCAAAAATACATAAAAACTCAAAATATCTGCATTAAAAATTACGAAGTAAATCTTAAACACTTATTTCCTCGAAAAAATTCCAGAAAGGATTAAGCATGATTTAATTCGCAATAATAAATGAAGGCATTATTTTTGTGTTGCGAAGCTTAGTCTCTCTAGATTGACAACAAATCTACAATTCTGCTGATTCAAATGTAAACAAATATGTCCGCCATGTTATTTAAAACTTAACCGCACTTAAACAGCTTTTAAATTCTTGATAATTGTACAAATATTGCTTCCAGAATTACGAAAGGCATAAAAACCTTAACCGGAAGATAAAAACAACATAATTCAACCATTTTTAAAGCAAAAAATGTACAATTTACAAACATATAAGAGTAAAGATACTGAGATCACTGAGCCGGGTAACAGAGTGGATATATATATATAAATATATTTATATACGTTTGGTGCGGCCGATTGCGACCAAAATACGAGGTGCACATCTACATGTTATAGCAGTCCTATATACAAAATGTCAACGTTCTGAGGCCACTCGTTTTCGAGTTATGCGAGATACGTTCGTACAGACGCCACGAAAAACTCTCTTCAGAATTAATTTTAAAGCAGTTTTATAAATTTTTTTGGAGGAAAGGTGTCTTTTATTCTGTCCTTACGCACAGATATCACGCAAAAACTTCGTTAAATTGCATTCGATAGCGGTCAAAATGGATATTTTCGTTGAAATATGTTGCCTGAGACGTTTTGCGATTACAATACTTCCTTTTTACTTCGTACAAGGAAGAAAAAATAGCATGCTAAATACAAATATGGGACAAAATACCAAAATCATGTGAAATCATCAATTTAATCCCTGAATTACGCTTAATGCAATCACATATGCAGTAGTATGTATATTTTCGATAAATGTTATAGAAAGAGCAAAATATAGTATGTTGCTGGTAAACACCTAATAACTAGCAATTTTAACGAATTATCAGTAATTGGAAAAATAGTTAAATCTAGAATTAAAATTAGAAATTAAAACTGATTACTGCGGAGGAGGATGAAAATTTTTTTAATCTATTCAGAAGAATTTGAAATTCATATGTATTTTACTTGTAAAGTCTAAAGTGCTATACTATTTTATCCCAGTTTAATACTACTTACCCACTTTACATATAAATATTTTCTACCAGTCCAGTGCCAGTAGCAAGTTTCATGCTTAGTTAGCAATGAAACTAAGCATGAAATCCTTTGCTCCGGAGAGGATTAACTTAATAAATACGTGTTAACAAGTATCAGTATGTGTATAACAAGCATTAATACTTAGAAAACAAAGTAATCTAAGTATTAAGTTAGATAACAAAGTGATCGAACTGTTAACCAACCATGAAATCCCTTCCTCCGTCGAAGATAGCTTATAACTACGTATAACAAGTATTAATAGTTGTATAGCAAGTTTTGTAACTAACAGTAGGTGAAGACTAGATCTTAATCAATTTAAGCACGGAACGTAGAAGGAAGTGTAACCTTAACAGTGAATAGTAAATTACCCAAAGGTAATCGTCCGATAAACGAAAGAAAAAAGAAAGAAATTCGTGCGGCTGGCAGCTTGGGTTTGTTCTCTTCCTGCTTCACTGACATACGCGTTTTAATACGTCCTTCTTCGTTTTGTGTCATGCGCGTACTGCATGAATTCTTGATACAGGCATGGTAGAAACAGTGTCATGCAAAAAAATCACAGTTCAGTAAGCAAAATTGGGACATAATATTTAAAATATTATTTCACTTTAGTTTCAACGTCGGTTGGGGAAGTAAGTTATGTTTTTAGTTACTCGTGTTTTAGTAACATAATTAATTTAAAATAAAATGCAATATCTAAAAAATACTACATAAAAATGATATTTATTGTGTTGGATATTTTATAAGGCAAGGTTATTATACGTTACTTTTTCTTTTCTTTGTATACTGTATTTATTATGTCAATGACGTGGTTTGAAGGCATGTCAGGATGATTAAAGAACATCTGTAATTAATTATAATAAATTTGTGAAGCAAATAACGATAATATTGTGAAAGACATTTTGTAGCAGCCCAATTTTTAGCTGTAATTATTTTAATGTGTTTGAAGAAAATTCCATTCGCCCTGCATTTAAAATCATCTTTCTTGGTTGATTATACTGACAGCGAAGAAATTTGTTAAACTAAAGTTGCGTTAATTTAAAATATGTAATATTTTTTGTTTTGTGTTATGCATACATACAGATATATATGTTTAATAAAAATTAAGTTAGTGATGTAGAATTAAAAAAATATTTGTTTTTACTAAGTTTTC